CTCGGGCACCAGATGCGCCCCGGTGCCCCCCAGCTCCGGCGGTCTGCGGGGTTCCTGAGCCGGGGGCGGCCTGTGGGGTCCGCTCGCTCCTGGTGGGCTTGTCTTGTGTGGGTTGACCCGATATCTTTCGGAAATTTTCCACACCCGCAGCATCCCATAGCAGAATTTCACATCTGTAGGCTGCGTGAGCTTCTCATCTTCCCTCTGAACTCCCACCAGCTGTGCTCATTTATTGCTCCCCAGCTCTTCCAGCAGATGTATTGAATATTCATTCCTTGTTCGTCTTTTCCAAGTCACTTGTGAGCTTATAGGCCCCTCTCCTTCAGCTGTTTGGGTTTTTTGTTTGTTTCTTTCTTTTTAGCCTCTTCCATTATTCAGTATTGTCTGTTTCCCTTGTACATTTTCTCTGTCATTTTGTGTGGGGGAAGCAGCGCTGCATGCAGTATCCTAGATGCTGTGTCATTGATTTATATGGTAGCATAATGAAGTTTTTTCTCCCTTTCCTATTGATCTCTTTGCCTTTTTGTCTAAGCCCTGGGTTCTATCAAAACATCATTTATCTGACCGTCCTTTCTAATCTCTCAGTGTCATGAGGCTCTCTTCACCATTTGTCTCTTTGCTACATCAGTACTTGGAGAGCACGGTTCCTGCTGCTTTTTTAGCCCTCTCATTTTTACTAGATACTTGCCCGACAGAAAGCCTTCCCCCTCATCCCATGGTGGGTCAGTGTCTGCAGAAGTCTTTCAAGGCACTGGGGCTGAATGTGTTCAGAGCACACAGGCAAATTGTACCTACTGTATTTGCCTCACCCACTTGCTTGCTGACAGCTTAGAAAAACTCTTTATAGATTTGTGAGTGTGGGGTTTTTTTTCCCCAATATGTGTTTGTTTGGGGTTTTTTTTTAAGTATCTGCCTAATCTTTGTTGCAATTTCTATCAGTTTGCCTGGAACGGGTATCAAATGCACTGGTCCATGTTTCCACTGATCTCCGCTGGAATACTCTTAAAAGTTGACATTTGCTACCTTCCAGGTATTTAGTATTAAGACGATGTTGGAGAAGTGACACATTGCACGTCTTGATTCAGTTACTGCTAAGTGAGAGATTCAGTTCATGCTGAGAGGGTTTTTGAACCCTTGGGTGAATATTGTCTAGTCTTGATGATTTGTTACTGTTTATTTTGTTGGCTCCCACAGTTCTTCTTAAAGACAGTTCAGTCTGAGAGAGATCCTCAGCTCTGTTCTTCGTAGTTTGAGATTGCTGCCCTGGTGACCCTTCACCCCCCAAATTCCTCCATAATGACAAAGGGATGCACAGGCTTCTTGTTTTTTCCCTTCTGCTCTGCCCTTCTCTTCCTCAAACGGCCCTTCCATACCCCGCTTTTCAGCTGGCCCTTGCAGATTCTGTCAGACAGGAACATGTGTTATGGTCTTTCTCATGGATGATCTTTATTTCTTTGATTCAGAGGAGTCTGTCCACATTGCCGAAAGATTTTTCTGGCTGATAAATAGCAACAAGACTAAGACTGGCAGCAGTAGTGAACGGGAGCTGTTGCCAGTCTCTTAGCCAAAACCTGTAGTACAGAACACCCTGGGCTCAACGGGTTGTATTTGTGTGGGTGCAGTGGTGCCATTTGATCCTGACTGAGGATCAAGTCAGCTCTTGGGGCAGTTAACTGTAATTAAAAGAAGTTACTTTGCTCTTCTGTCCTGCTCCCCAGCACAGTGCATCAGGGCAGTATTCCCTGGCTTTCAAAGAATGTCCTCAGAGTATAAAAAGGAAGCTTCTCCTCTAAGTGTCTTGGAAAATCCCATTTCTCTGTTCTCCTTCTGATTTATCTGTTTCTTTATTTAGGGTTTTGGGGTCATGCTTATCTCTGTAATGACAAATAATAATTTAGCAGGGATTTTTTTCAGTGGCAGTGCTGACTTAAACAGCTTCTTGTTCACCAGTGCTTGTTCCCACTGCCCCTTCAGTTGTGTCAGTGCAACTCATGTTGAGCAGTGGGATGTGATGGATCTGAGTTAAAAACAACCTAGCAAAGCCAGCCTTCCTCCCCCCTTGTCCTGAAGCCTGCATCAGTTTTCTGGTCCAGCTCTGCCTGACACTGTGCAGAGCTACTCTGGCACAGCTGAGGGAATGGTCAGTGGTTAGGCGGAAAATGCTGTAGTGATTCTTTTGGGGCAGCATTGCGATGATGCTTTCTGGGTGCCAAGGGCAGAGCTTTCTAGAAAGCCTACAGCATTTTTAATTTAGTCTGTTGCATGCTTTAAACTTTCTGTCCATTTGCCGGAGTATGGATACTTCTGTGCCTGTTGTATTTTCGGCTTTAGCTGGTACAGCCTGGGGATGCTGATCAGTTGTACAGCCCCATCCTGCTCTATCAGCAGGGTCTCTGCCAGCGTCAGTGCACAGTGGTTTTTAACCGTATGGTTGAATGGATTCCTTTGCACCTGGCTCATTCATTGAACATCTTCCAGTCTCTGCTGTGAATGAGGTGGCACAGCTCCAGGTCACAGCTCTCTTTGTGATGTGTGCCAGTCTCGTTTATCAGTTGTTTAATATGGTGATGAGTCTGGGCTCTGTGTAAAACTAACAGTATATGTGCACGTGGCTGGGGGCATGTCTTTGTTCCTGGGTGGAAACTAGGTCCATGTGGGCAAATTTGTAATTTTGTAATTTTTGTAAGTTGTCTGTAATTAGGAGTGTTTAGCTTTTTGCTGGGAAATGATCACAGTCAAGCAAATTTGTCTTGCATGTCTATGTGCAAGAGAGCGTGACTTGTGAAGTATAGTGCATGATACTTGTGCAGTGAGTGTCTAACCTTAGCTGGCATCCACTAGCATTCCTTGGGATCTAATTTCATTAAAATTGACTAAAATCCAACATTTTCAGTTTGTGAGGAAGCATAATTTTGGAGGGGAGGTGTGAAATACAGATTTGAAACTTAGTATGTGCCACGTGATTTAAAAAAAAATAGTCTCAGAAACATTTATGCATGGATATTCCAGAGCTAAATACTGGTTTCACAGCATGTCTGAAAGCTCCCAAGGGCTCAGGCTTGTAAAGTACTGTGGCTTGGGTGGAGGATCTCAAGATTTCCAGCTGCCAGTTGGTTCTTGGACTGCCAGATGCCCACATGAACCTTATTCCATGGGTGATAGGGAATCCCTGAGCCACACTGCAGGATGGTGGTTTCCTTGTAGCAGAAAAAGTGAAAACCTTGATAACCTGGGCTTGAGTGTAGTCTCTTACGGTTTTCTGGCTTTCAGCAGTGGAGCCATGAATATAGACATAGTTAAAACCAGGGTTTCAAGCCTAAACTAGGTAAAAGAAATGCTGTTTTAGGTATAGTTCTTAGACACTGCCCCAATGGCTGACTGTAAAGGGAGCTCAGACTTAGTAACATAGACCCCTCAGCTCTGTAGGTATTCCAAGTGAAATGAGAAATTCCACTTCTGGTGGGAGGTCAACCGAAGGTTAAGGGCTGAGATGGAGTCACAAAATCCTGCTGCTTGCTCACTGTAAAAGTTGGCTTTGGTGATCCTAAATATCTCCTGTCCCTAAAATCTATTTATAAAAAATAACTTTAAATGCAACATTTAAAGTAAAACATTACCAAAGCCCTCTTTTCTTCCGTTTACCTCAGGCCTTGCCCTGCTGTCAGGGATTACTCTAGGCAGACAATGCCAAGTCAAATAACAGTTGAGAGTGAAAATTCAGAGGATTAAAGGTGCATTTGTCTGTAGCCCATATTTTAATAGGCATATTTTTAAGGGCTCCTCCCTTTTAAGGGAGTTTGTTAGAAACTTGTGTACAAATGTGTAAAGTGTCTCCTTTCATCTGGTTTGGTGGTGGCACATAAGCCGTAGCACAGCTGTTGCCATTTCAATCCTTCTCAGCAACAAGCTGAGGTGGGATGCTCCATTTCTTGATATTTTTTGTCTGTTCTTCCTTGCTTTTAGATTCAGAGATCTTCTGATTTCTATTTTCTGCTCTTTATGAGGGACACAAGTTCTCCTTTCTGACCATCTTCCATCTTACTTTTTATTGGCCATGAAAAGTGTTGCTGATGCCTCTCATTGAAACCTTAGAGGAGGCACGAATAGGAGCTCAGATCTGAGAGCTTTCTGGAGCCCGCTGTTGCATGTGGGTGGTTTAGTCAAGCTGGATTGATTGGTGCTGGGCTCCAGAAGACTTCCAGCACAGGTCACTGGTGGCTGAGAGGTCCCTGGCATGGTGTCCACCTTTCTCCATGTCCAGTCGTGCAGTTCAGAGATCAGGGGTTTTCATGTGGAGTGTTGCTCTGCCAGGCGGCACTGCCAGGAGAGCCTCTTCTCCCTTGGTGTGCTCTGTGGTCCCAGCTGTCCCTGAGCTCTCTGGCATCTTGCTTGCTTTCCAGGTGGAACCACTGAGACCTGCCTCTGAAGGACATGAAAATTTCCCTCCACAAAATGCGATAACAGACCAAGAGAGCAGCCAACAGATAGAACAGCTGGTGAGTTGTGACCCTGGTTTTGGGTAAAGGACTGCTACACTTTTTCTTGGAGTTTTCACCCATGGAATCCAGGCAGAGATTTTGGGGACTGAAGTCTTTTTAGGTGCAACTTCTGTGCAAAAGTGGGAAGCCTGGGGAATCCGTGGGAACACATACGCCGTCTGCATGGACAGTGTTGCTGGGTGGCAGCTCCAGGCTGGTGGGGGAATATGTCACACTAAAGTGAGAGGGAAACACACCAATGGATTCTGTGCTGTGTTTGGTTTAGTCTTATTTGAAGTGGGAACAGATGACTGACCTGGGACAGATGTTACATGAGGAATATGTCCCTTGAGAATTATTGCAGCAAACTAGGACAGTTCACAGTGAGGTTTAGCAGTTCTTATCTATCAGGGGAACCAGAAGTGGTAGCAAATAACTACAGATAAAGGTACATAACCAGAGGATGTCTGCACTCAGCTAGATGTCATTTGGATTAGAACAGGAACTAAGCTAGCATAGCTAATATTTCAAGCTGAATATTTTGTACAGCTCTGGTTTTTTTGTCCCCTGCATCCTGTCCTCCATCCTATTCTGTACAAATAGGAACAACCTGTGCAAATGGGAAAGAGAGAACTGTTTCCAGAAGATTAAAGGCTTGGGCAAGAGAGGAATAGAAAGTTTCAAGTGAAACTTGACAAGTTTTTTGGTTTTACTACCTTTTAAAAGAAAATCTCCCTTGGTTTCTGTATTGTTTATGTTTGTCACAAAGAGATTTTCTTAAGAAAATAAAAATAGCTAATGCAGCATTGGGTCTGAGAAGCTGGGTTTGACTTTTTTATGTGTTATGAATGTGGACTTGCTGATCTACTTATGCTTGTTCCGTGCAGGAATTTGAACTCAAGAAAAAGCGCAAAAAATGTGAAAACCTTGAGCATGAAGTGAGGAAAAAGCATAAAAGATGCAAAGAACTGGTAAGTGTTCTTGTTGCCTACTGTTGTGAGCATAATGGTAGAAGAGGAGCTAAGTTGTTGCATGCTTCACTTGGATTCTTTTCAGTTTATGTTAGTAACAAATCACCGGTCTTTCTCTTAATTTGAGCAGCGTCACAAATTTGGCCTCCAGCCCTTGAGGCTGGAATTGTTTATTTAGTCTTTCAGCTAGCTGTGAGTTGAAAAATAGCTACATAAGTCACTAGATGAAACTCCGTGGCCTTTACATGTGGAGTGTCGTGGTTTAACCCCAGCTGGCCACTAACCACCACACAGTTGCTCGCTCCCCCCTGGTGGGATGGGGGAGAGAATCGGGAGAGGAACAGAAGAGTAAAGGTGAGAAAACTTGTGGGTTGACATAAAGGCAGTTTAATAGGTAAAGCAAAAGCCGTACGTGCAAGCAAAGCAGAATAAGGAATTCATTCATTACTTCGCATCGGCAGGCAGGTGTTCAGCCATCTTCCAGGGAAGCAGGGCTCCATCACCTGTAACTGGGGCAGACAAATGCCCTAACTCTGAGCATCCCCCACTTCCTTCTTCCCTCAGCTTTATATGCTGAGCATGACACCATATGGTGTGGGATATCCCTTTGGTCAGTTGGGGTCAGCTGTCCCAGCTGTGTCCCCTCTCAACTTCTTGTGCACCTCCAGGCTCCTCGCTGGTGGAGTGGTGTGAGGAGCAGAAAAGGCCTTGACTCTGTTTAAGCACTGTGCAGCGATAACAGAAACACCCCTGTGTTATTAACACTGTTTTTGGCACAAATTCAAAACATGTCACAATGTTTTGTTATAACATCCATACCAGTTACTATGAAGAAAATTAACTCTATCCCAGCCAAAACTAGCACAAGGAGATACTTACTGTTTTTATATGCACTCCAGACAAGTATCAAGAGATTTCTGCATCTTGAGATGGTAATTGCACAGACCCACTGTCATTTTCTTGTGCTTCTTATTTGTTGAATGAAATCTTGCCTCTGTTTAATTTCATGGAGGTTTTGCATCTGGATTTGCATCTGGATTTCTCCCTTCTGTTTCTACTTTGCTGAGCAGCACTGGTGGCAGTAGGGACTATGACAAGATACAGTTTCAGACAAGGGTGCTTACCATCCGTTTTATGTCTTGCTCAAATCTCAGTTCAGGTCAGTTCTAATGCATAGCTCGGGCTCATTTGCAGTTCATAGTGCTTGGCTCAGCCTCATTGCCTGGGTTAGAATGGGATGTTTGAGGAGTAAGTTGGTCATTTCATGTTGTTAGTATCTTTTCAAGGTCAAGAAGGGACCAACTCACCTCGAAGTACTGAGGCTGAGACTCTGCGCGCATAGGGAATTAGCTCTTGGGATAGCCAGAAAATATTTGATGAGCCATGAAACACTGGCAGAGAGAAATGTATGGGTTGTCTGACTGTGTGGAGTCCTGTGTGATTATGGAACTATTAAATAGCAATAATGCTGTGCAAAGTTGCTGCAGATGGACTGGATCTGACAAATTCAGTCAGTGTCTCTCCATATGTCCGTGGTGTTCCGCCTGCTCAGAGACAATATTCTTTAAGGCAGAGTGATAGCTGGCTCATGTTGCTTTCTTAACTCCAGACTGAATCCTGGTTTCAGGATAGAGTCAGCCGTGCAGTCTAGAAGTCTCTTTAGCATCATTCTTCCAAATAATTTTTCTTCCTTACCTGGAATTTGTCAAGAAGACTCTGATCTTGAACCAACAGTAAAACTTGATGAATTGTTGTAGGTGAAGATGGAGTTCTGGACAGCAGTATGTAAATAATGTGACACTGTGAAGCAGACAAGGAAATGTCTTTCTAATTCTGGGCTGTGAGGCTATATAAATGGGAAAAGAAACTTCAGAGGTCATCTGGCACAGGGCTGGTATCTGCTTGAGCAGTGCTGCACACTGTTGTGTTCCACCGCTCAAGCAGCATCTCATCAACATCCTGCACCATCCGTCAACAGGAACAGTGGAGCTGCTCTGCAGAATAATTTGGGGGAGTTAGTCTGAGGGCCTTGGTGTAGTAACACACTCTATTTCCGGACAGGAGATCCAGCTGCAGGAGGTACAAAGTGAAAATGCACGACTGGCCGAAGAGAACTTGCAGCTGAACGAGAAGGCTGGATGGGCAGGACAGGTAAAAAGCAGCATCTTTGTTTGCCAGAAGGAGCATTAGTTGCTCTAAAATTTTGCTTAGAAGAACTTGCTATCATGCTAGGTTTTCAGGGTACCAGCTGAGTAATGGTCATGTGCCCATCTGTGTACCTCTCTGTCCTGCGTACCCCATGATAACTGCAAGCAGATCAGTTAACTGCCCTATTTTTATTACAGTTTCCCAAGACTTGAGTGAGGTGCTTTGTCCTTACTTAAGTTCATACTTGGTTTACCTGTGGTAGTTGTTAATGAGTTCATAACCGAAGATGGACAGTGGTGTGTGAGGAGTGTGCACTGGTCGGAGTGGTAGCAGAGCAGAACCCATCACTGCAAGCAATTCAGGCATATGATGGTTTGAAAGTCCTCAGTCACCTCTGGCATTTTCTGTCATCCTCAAAGAGGGGTTTTAGTGGGTGATGATGGGGCAGGGCAGAAAGCCACCCCTGCAATTCAGAGCTGCCCTTGCCTGATGGAAACCAAAAAGCTTCAGATCTTGGGACAAAGGCAGGATACTTGCATTGTTCAGTTTGCAGAGCAGATTTCAGGGGAGGGTGGCTGCACTTTGGGGGGTTGTGTTCTAGGAACGTGTTGTTGTGTGTGAGAATGGTGGAAGAGCTGGTGCTGCAATGAAGATCCTTCATGGGTTTCTGTTCCAGCTCCTTCTCTGCACAAATGTAATTCATGAGAGTTAGAAACCATTTGTCTGTCCCGTAGGCCAATCTTCAGAGTCATCATGTTGCCACCATGCATAAAGATTCCCACATATTTAGTAACTTTGTTCTAAGTGGAAGTGTTTGCCTTTGATAATCTGCAATCTACAACCAAAATATGTTGCCTGAACTTCCTGTAGTAAGTGGAGGAGGTAAACATGATTTCAGTAGGCCACCATATCTTTCTGTGCTGTTCTCTGTGTTTAATCCTAGATGGTGGGATTTAAAAAAAGCTTTCAGACCTCTCTGCTTTTTTTGGTATCTCTTCAGTATGTATGTAGCCTGTTCATATCCCAGTCCCTTCCTCCCTGCAAAAGGGGAGTGGAGATGAGTCTAGCGGGAGAAGCAGTATGTGCAAAATAAAGTGTTCATCACATTGAGGACTGAACACAAATGCATCTATATTTGTTTTGAGTGGAAGCCAGAGGGAGAGGAGGGTCATGATTTTGGTATCATTACAAGTAGAAAGCAGGTCTGCAAAACAACCGATGAAGGATCAGAAATAGTTTTCAGTTATTTATACAAGGAATACCTATGGGTACTTGTGCTAATTGAAAAACCTTTCTCTTCAGGTTGAATCTGAGAATGCTGACCTGAAACTGCAGGTTGTTTTGGTTACTAAGGAACGGGATTCAGTAATTCAGACGAATCAAGGACTCCAAACCAAGCTGGAGAATCTAGAGCAGGTGCTGAAGGTCAGTAGGATCCATGTGACTTGGAAGAGCTGTCTAGACATTTAGTGTTGCTTTTGGATGGCACATGCTATCTCTTTGGTTTTTTGTCTATTCTTTTGTCTCTGTGCTTCTGTTGGGAATTCTGCTTCTGCGGGATCCTGGAACGTGGCCTTCCAAAGTGGGCAGAGATGCTTTAGAAAGGCTATTGCAGTGATTTGGGTGGGAGGGGAAATAAGGTGGACATCACTGATTTAAGGATTTTCTTTGACTGTGTTGCTCTGGCTTGTGGTAAGAGTTTCTTGCTTTCTCTTCTGTTTAATGATGACATGAAATGCAGGCCATGTTTTGACTTCATGGCCCATGACAGGACACAGGGCAGTATTTCAGTAATGTCTATGAATTCTTCTGCAGCACATGAGAAATGTGGCTGAGCGAAGGCAGCAGCTGGAAGTCGAGCACAAGGAAGCGCTGCTAGTCCTGCAGGAGAAGCAAGAGGAAGTCAGACGGTTGCAGCAGGTATGCAGCGTGTGAGAGAATGGACATTTTACTCGCTGAATCCCTGGAAAGTGATAGGACTCCTGCACCTTGTTTCCTTCGAAGTGCAGTGTATGGAAGAGCTATATGTGATTTTACAGGATAAAGTAAACCAGGGAAGAGTGTCTGCGTCTAGGTGAACTCTGGTACCTGAGCAAAGTGAGGGGCTTTTCTCATGAATGGCAATTCTGATCTCTCACTGCTGTTTGTCCAAAGACCAAAGATGCTTTCAGTCAGTTCAGTGTTTTAAATCTATAATGTCAAGGTGGTGATGATAGTAGAAGTGAACTTAGGTAGGCTGCTTTCTTACTCCATTTCTTATTTCTTCTTAGGCACAGGCAGAGGCAAAAAGAGAACATGAAGGAGCAGTACAGCTTCTAGAGGTAAGACAGAAGGAAACAAGATGGTTTAATGGCTGCAGATTTGGTATCTTTTGTTCTTAATGTCAGCTTTCTTGATGTCCTGGGTTTTATTAGTTCTTGAGCAAAATGCTTTAACGTCGTGATTGGATGCGACATGTTGCTGCTGTGAACAAGTATCGGTTGTGCTGGCAGAGTGGTCTCTGGGGTCAAAGTTTTCTGGGATTAAATCCTGGCCTGCTCCGTCCTTAGGTTAACTTCATTCAGATTGTGCCCAACAACTCTTTCAGGGATGCATTAAGTAGCCAACCTCAGATCTACCTGCTCTGTTTTCAAGGATAATCTACAGGGAGGAAGAATACTTGTGTCCATGTGATTTGAAATTTCTTTTGTGTGTATGTGCTCTATGCTTTTTATTAGGGAGAAAAAGGAGAAATGTGACCTTTGCCTGAGTATAACAAGTGATGAAGTTTGAGGCAGCTCCCTTGTCCCATTTGTTAGGCTGGGACCAGCTGTGTGAGTGCTCCGACATCCACACAGAACAGATTTTGCTCTGGTGGCAGACAGCTTAATGGTGCAACCTGGCAGATGTGATGAGCGCTGTTTTGGTTTTGGTTTGTGTTATCTCAGCATTTGTCAGGATGGCTTTGGAGAAAACCTTGGTTGTGGATTCCTGGAGCTGCAAAGGCAAAGCACCAAACCCTGGGACTTGATGTGGTGATTTAGAGGCTGCCGCAGAGTTGGGTTAGGTGTGATGGCAAATGGGGCAGCTTCTGCTCTCTCAGTCTACTGAGGTTTTCTGAGTCTAAAACATCTGAGACCAAGCAGAATGCCTCGCTGTCCAACACCTGGACAGTGCGATTGCATGCTAATGAGGCCGTGGCCCTGCCTGTAGTGGTGACATACAGTCAGGGATGGCAGGCTGGATTGCCTGTGTCTACTGCTGTGCAGCAGGTCTGTGGCTGTTAGGAGCCCAGGAGAGTTGAGGGAGATGGTAAGTGTCCTTGATGGAGGAGATTGCTCCATGGTTGCAAATAGCATCTCCTTTGCAGGGGGCTTGACCTGTATCTGAACTGCAGAGCTCGAGAGTGCCGGGCTCCTACTGGATGGGGTTGAAATTGTTGCAGACTGGGCGAATGTTGTGGGGAAGTGGCATTATTTATTGCCCCATTTTCACGTCCTTTCTGGGACATCTGCTTTTTGCTGCAGGGATGGGATCAGAGCTGATATGGGTGCTGCTTTTATGTCAGTTGGTTTGTAGCTGGCTTTTTAGCAGCCTTTAAGGGAAGGGAGGTTTGGTGCTTGCCGAATGTTTTCTGAACTAATTCATTGAAAGATTGGAGAAGCTGCTTAGATTTAAACTAGACATCTACCTGTGCAAAGGAAGAAAGGGACAGTCATGTTGTTCTATGGTGGAGAGGCTGGTCATGTTCTTCTGCAAGGGCTTCATCAGTTAAATATTCATCAGCTTTCATGTTACTGGTACAGAGATGCTTTATAAGTCAATGACACCAGGTGGACCAAAGAAAGAGAAATTGTCATTAAAAGCTAGTTTAATGTGGACCAACAGTCATTTAAATGACTTAACTATAATCATAGTCATTCCAGAACATCAGTGTAGGGCAAAATTAGGGGGTTTGGGGTGCCTACACTGCATATTGTCATTTTTACCTGTGTTTGGATTGCTTTTTGATGTAGTATTAATGAAGAATGAGTGTGGTCTGTTTCCCTGTTGGAAGAGTTCAGTCACATGATTGTCGTAAGTGGAGTCTCCCTCCCCTTGAGTTCAAAACTCAACTAGACAAAGCTCTTGGCAACCTGTTCTAGCTGACCCTGCTTTGAGCTGAGGTGATCTCCAGAGCTGCTTTCCAACCTCAGCTCTTCTCTAGTTCTGTAGTAAGGCAGTGATGGGGGTGAGTAGAGGTATGGGATGGTTTCTGTGTGCAGAGGTGCCACGGGTAGAAGGACTCTCTCATCTTAGAAAGAAAACCATGAGAGTTATGGTCATGGGAATGAAGGAGTTCAGTAGTGGTTCCACTTGATTCCCAGCACTCCTTGGTCTCAGACCTGGAGAAAGGTCTAGACACAAAGTGTCCATTCCATTTGTTTTGTGGGTTGTTGCAATGTGCTGGGAAAAGAGGACTTAAAATTTAGCACTGACACGCAAAGCGTATTGTGATTTGGCTCAAAGCATATTGCGATTTGGAGGACCTTAAACAGTGCATGGTTATCTTATTCATGCATTTTGTATGTGGGATTTGGCTTTTGTTTAGCAAGCAGATGCTGGTGGGAATGAGGTGGGAATCTCAGTCTAGAACAAGGCAGACGCTAAGTCAGTGAGAAAACAGTTTCATTCAAACTGAGGGCTGGGTTATCTTTGGCAGATTGTTGATTTTTGCCTAGTGTAACTGCTGATGTGGTTTTATATCTCTTTTTGCTTTTCTTCTTGCTACCAGAGTACTTTGGATTGCATGCAGGTACTACTATAATCCTGTCAGACAGGACATTTTTGTCCTCTGTCCTGGTTTTGACAGTTGCTTGATATTCTTGTTCTAATTATGCTCCGGAAAAGATTGCAAGAGTGTCACCTTCAAGAAATAAATATGATTAAAGGAGCTACCACTATGAGTTTGATGGAGCAGCTGCTTTTCTGCTTGAATGCTTTGCTTTCTCGACCAATTAGAATTAGAAGCTTTATTTTTGGGGTGTTTCCATATTTTTAGATATGTCCAACTGTGCGTCTTCTCCACGTCACATACATTTGGAGGTCTTTTGGGAACTACTTGCAGTCCAAGAGTGAAGTGTTTCCTTCAAAACCCAAAAGCAATGGCCACATAATTGCAAATGAAAATGCCACAGAGAAAAACACAGATCCTGCTGGCTTTGTAATTGGTTGGAAGATGGGAAGCAGAGATTGTGAAAAATGTTTTTCACAGAAGAGATAGAAACTAATGAAGTTGTAGTCTGGGAGCTGTGCTATCCAGCCTGTTCACAAATAATTTGGAGAGAAGGCTTATGTGGAAGTGATGGGGTTTGTAGCTGATAGAAAAATGCTTTCAAGAATCACCTTCAGATCTGACTGCAAAGAGCTGTGAGAAGATCCCATGAGTAACAGGGATATTAACTGACAGGTAACACTGTGCAAAGGCACGCACGTGGCAGAGAAAAAGCCGCGACTAAACATGCATAATGGTGGGCTCTGAATTACCTGTTGTGGCAGGAAATGCAATGTTTGAGGTAGGGTGTTTTTTTTAAAATGTCAGCCTAATTCATCAGTCTGGTCAAAAAGGCAAGTACAGTGTTTGGAACTTTTAGGAAAGAAATTAGGAATAGCCCAAGGACATTATTAGGGTATGCCCACATCCTGTAGAAGTAGCACCTACATCTATGTGGAGTTACGGGTGTTCCTTTAATGCCTTTGGCGTTAGCCCTGCTTTGAGCAGGTGTTTGGATTGCAAACCTGTAGAGTTCCCTTCTAGCAAAATTGTGATTTTCTGATCTCAAAAACATATAGCAGAAGATACAGAGAAAGGTAACAAGGGACATCTGGATGGGGAACATCATCTGTAGGAAAAGTGTAATAGAGCAGCTAAGGAGAGGGTCTAAGAGGACAGGGCTGAGCTGGTGGTGGTTGGGTCTAGCTTGGTGTGGAAAATCGGAGTAAGTTCCTGAACTGGTGGTTAAACTGACCCCACCAAGCTCTGCTCCCTGCTCTTGCAGCCTCTTCTGGTAATTATGCTATCAGTTGGTGTGTGGCTCCTCGTTCTCCCCCTTTTGGGTTGGGCATAGACACAAAAGTTTCCTCTCTTCTGTGTCTGGGGCTTGATTCCTCGCCG